CTCCTTTCTTGCTTCCTCTTGCCAATCTGTATGGACTGCCAGAAGTAAGACAGTCCAAGAAAGCAAAGTAGTAGTAGTTTCTTGTCCGGACATGTAAAACGTCTTGCAATCACCAACAACTTCGTCCACCAAAATCCTCTGGTTGTCATTGGCATCATGTTGAGCCTCTACAAGTAATCCAAGATAATCACTTCCAAATCTGTCTTCTCCTCCGGTCATTGCCTTCTCTTCTCTTTTCTTAATAATCTCTATATAGAGTCTTGTATTCCTTTCTCAAGTTTCTCCGACTCTATCTCATCGCTGGTTTTAAAGAACTCACTGCAATTTTCAATGAAAGACTAAACATGAGAACAGAATTAATGCTCACTGCTATGGGAAAACAATAAAAGAAGATTAAAGAAGAATGGTTCTCTGCATAACAAGCCTAATGCGCCAACTACACAACGAAAATGAAATAGAGTATGCTTCTCCTGGCTATAATGAAAATTTTTATTGAGTATATTTCTCCTGGCTATAATGCAAATTTGTGTTCAATTCAAATTTGGAATTTGCACCAGTATCTCTTCTTTTTTTAGGGGGAATCATCAGCATGAGTCATTTTTTTTAAGAAGATAGAGAGAGAATTGTTTAGGCATGACTCTGTGTTTGTTAACATAGTAAGGTACAGAATGTATTCTAGCAAATTCAAAGGATCCCACAATTGACCAACCAAAAGATTATTTGGATGCCATTTATATTGAGGAGTAAAAATGCCACACATTAATCAATCAGATATTCAATAACTAAGAGAACAGAGATTGAATGGCTATCCATGTGTGGTTTCGCAATTCAAGATTTAGTTGAAATGAAGTTACCTAATGACAGGAACCCCGATTGTGAGAAATTTTTTGTAGATTATGAAGCCTAACTTGGTCAACATCTCAAAAATGTTCTTTCCTTCAATATAGCTGCTGCCAAATGCTATTCTGGAAGTCACTTCTGAACTCAGCAACCTAAACTCTTGAAGCACATCAATCTCTTTTCCTTCATAATTTTCCACCTTCCTAGCATTGTCTCGGCACTAGCTACCATTTCTGGAATCATACTCTGGTAAAACAATACCATCCCATCAGATTTTACTTCACTACTATACTACTCTTTGCAAGAAATTACCATTAACTGTGAAAAAAAAAGACTTACTTTTAAGCTCTCTACATGGAAGGCAAGAGTGGCCAGCTTTCTCAATTTTGCCCATTTTTCAGCTTCTGTTGTTGAAACCAAGCCATCTCCTAATAGCTTCTTTACAAAGTTTTGGATCTCTTTTTTGGGATAAGCTCCATCTTTGTTATTCAGTATCTCTTTGCACAACTCAGGTTCTGTGATCACCAACTGAGCCTGAGAACCGTGCCACTGCAAATAATTAATTCAATATTTGGAACTAAAATTAAATATAAATAAAATTTTAAACTTTTATTTTATTTTATAAGTAGCTAATTGAGATGGTTTCTTACCATAAATCTTGGTAAATGAGTGAATGTGAGGTTGGACTAAAGGAAGTGTGTCGTGGGATATAGTTTTGGGACTGGCCATGGCTTCCTTCATCATGTGGGAGATTCCTTTGGTGTTTCCATGGATGAGTTTGTAAGGAGGGCCATGGATCCCCTGCAGAGCTATCTGCTTCTGTATGCGAGTTGGAGCCCACCATAGCTTGTGAAGGATCGTGATGAGAACTACGACCAGGAACAAGCACAGAAAGCAGAGAAAGCCTCCTAAAGAACCCATTTGTCCTCGCTTTCTTTCTGAGTATTCATCTTTCAGCAGTCAGTTTTAAAATTTTCTTGCTCTTTGTTGTTTGTTTGTACAAACTTAGGAAGAGAAAGAATGAAAAATCAAGACATTGCAGGTGGCCAGATGTAGCCAAGTTTTAATGGAAAACACTTGGCTCATTTCCTTACATGACAACAAAATTTGCTTTGTTTTTTCCTTTCTTTTAATTTTGCTATGTATGTAGGAAGAATTTCTGAAAACAGAAAAATCATCCATAAATACGTAGATAAACTTTTCTAACATGTCAGAGAAAATTCACATCATGCACCTTTGAATGTCAAGGATTACTGCATTGTTTGAGGACTTGTTCCTATACTAATTTTTAATTCACTATGTCTGTCTAGCACCTTTGTATGTGCTTGTTTGATATTTCTTTATAATCATATAGATTACATGCAATCTCAATCTGATTGCAATTAGCCAAAAAGACTAGATTCTTAACAAGTTTTCTCAGCCAGAAAAAAAATACTATAATAAAGGATGAAACATAATATAAAATTGCTCAAAGAATAGTAAGACACAATCATATCAACAGAATAGCATTGCTTGAGAGGATTTTATTCTAAAAAAACTTCAATGCACCTAGTTTGCGGTATTTCAAGTCAGTCACTCACTATCAAGTCGGAAAGTTAAAGCACAAAACTAAAGGAATTTCAGCTTAAATTTTAGCGGATTTTAATCCCTACAACATTTATAAGTTTTCTTCTTTCCTCCAGGCCCCTGAGCTGTACGAAAACGTCGCACCAGGCTTGCCTCCTTCCCTTTCAATAAAATGCAGTGACTGCCGCTGAAGCCCTCCTTCCAGTGAAGTGCACCGTTTCACTCAATGATGGGTTTTCAATCTAGAATTGGGCTTTTAAAACAAAATGCTGCTCTTAACCCACTTCGCCTCCAACCCAATAGAACCCAATCCCCAAATCACATTATTTAACTTCTTCTTTTTTTCTTGTTTCAAAATTTTCACATGTTTTATGAAATTTATTTATTTTGGTGTTTGATTTAACATTACATAAAGTTACATTTAACAGTTTCGGAAACTGATTTTTTTAAATTAAGTAAGCTAGTCTTTTGGATTAATCAAGCTGGTCCTTTTATATATGTTTGATATGAAGAATAAATATGCTACAATGAAATTAGGATATCAAAATTATTATTTTATGTGTTATATAATTTACTTTAATCTATACATATATTATTTTAGATATTTTTAATTATCGTAATCATGATCACTATACTCGGTAAATATAGACTTAGTCAAGCTGGTTAGAGTGGATGTGCTCCTCACTTTGCACCTGAGTTTAAATCTCCCTCCTCATAGTCTAAATTAGATTAAATTAGATTATCACTTGTATCAAACATTAAAATAAAATAAAAAACATGATCACAGTACGCATATAGCCTAACGGTGGGACCTCTAGGACATCCTAATACTAGCCCCTTTATTTTATCTTTTTTCATATTAAGACAAACAAAAAGTTACAAATGGAATCCCCTAGGCATCTCAAATCTTTTGACTCAATACCAAAATAATTAAACTGGAGTCGACTTCAAAGAACTCTAATTGCACTTGCACTCTAATGATTAAGATAAACTTTTTACAACAACTCTAAACTTACTAACTCGATAATTGCACTTGCTCTTATTGATACTATTCCATAAAAGGGGGGAAATAAATTATGTCTTCCACCTATATTACAACAAATGTACAAGATGTACCACGTAACCATACTACTATAGTATTCTATAATTTCTCCACAAAGTACCAAGACTCCTTCGTAAATGCAATAAAATAATTAATATTCCTATTGACAAACCAGTTCAGCTACATTATCTTTGAGAACATTGCTCATAATCAATTCGACAATCCAACATCATTGAATAGGCTAGCTAGGCTTCATGACGAAAACATTCAAGGGGGATAACTCCACAAGGAAGGTAAGTACTCGCACCAATTGACTAATCAAAGCCACCAAGCATAAAGACATACTCTCATAGTAACTAGCCATGTTCATCATCGTTAAAGACATTACCATGTTTTCTCATTCATAACTTGTGAATAAATCTCAATTCACTAACATATATGTATGAATTCTTGTCGTATTCTTGGAGAAATTGTTCATGAGGACTTACATATCTAACAGGAGCCCAATTTGGCTGAAGCATTTGAAGAGTTGATGCGTGAAATCCGCACAATCTTCTTGGCACTAGTGCCCTGTTCATATTTGGTATCAGCGAAGAGCTCGACCCAACTTCAAGTTTCAAAGTTCAAATCTTCCAATCAATTTCCAAAAGTCAATGGAGGTTTAGTCGATCATAAAATCAATATAAATGGGATTTAAATATGCTACCAATGGTAAGTTGATTTAGACTAAACATTCTCGTCAGACATTCAATGAATATGATTACTAACTTAAGCATCAGAGAGCTCTTAAGATCTTGAATCCAGTAGCTTTTGAAGTTTAAGTTTTGTTTTTGTAGATGCCCCAGTCAAATTCTTCATACTATTTATCGATCTTGGCTTGCCATGTGAGTTATACGATTTTCACCTAGTAGGATTTATGATTTTGCATATGGTAGAAATTAAATTTTTATTTTCAATGAATGGAAAGTTACCTTTAACAGGCATTCATACCCTAGTATAGTAGGATTTGTTAGAATAAGAATGAAAAGTTAATCCAACTCAAATATTTATAGAAAGAAGCTTGACACTTTTTTGGAGCAATTATAACAGGAGTGCATGATATAGAATGTATACCCAATAAGATGCATTTTGAGTTAGCATACATTCATATTGGGAAATTGATTATAGAATGTATATCCAATAAGATGCATTATGAGTTAACATATATTCATATTGGGAGATTTGAGTTAAACTTTAACTTCAACACATATCGTTGATGAAATGTTTGATCGTTGTTTGTGTATTAATATTATTCACACGGCGTGCTAATTTTACGTTGCATTCAAATTCCTCACACCATCACGTTATTAGTAGTTATAATTATATAATATCACAAGTAAAAATAATTATGGTAAAAAATGGCAACGGAAACATATAAGCATCAAAATTTTCTCTAACAAACAACTTCTCATACTAGTTTTTCTACAATATTGCAGTTCAATGAACGCAACTATTCTTCCATATGCATTGCGTGTGTGTGGGTTATAAATAGAGGAATATAATGTCAAACTACATATAATTGGGTTCTACTACTCACTACTCGCTACTCAGCTCGTTCGAGTCCTTCTTCCCAAAAGCACTTTTATCACTTTTGGTTTTACCAACCAACCTCCTCCTTGCTCACTTTTTCAACGCACTCTCCCTCTCTCCACCCCTCTCAAATCCTCTCTCTCTTTCTCTCCGTTGTTTTCAACCACTTAAACTCCCACCACCACTCTCATCAATAAACATTAAACACCTGACCACCGTTACCACCCACCACCACCACAACCCAAAAACCAAAAAAAAACAAAAAACAGAGCAAAAGACGAAAATGGATTTGAACAACAACTTCACCGGAGCTTCAAGGCCCTCCCCGACATCCTCGACTGACATGGAGCAGATGTCGGAGACCCCACAGCGCGGGTCCCACCACCGCCGAGCCCACTCTGACACCTCCTTCCGCATCCCCAACTTCGACGACCTCCTCCTCTTCGACCCTTCCGACCTCGACCTCTCCTGCCTCCCCTCCCCAACCATCCTGCCACGTAGCAGCAACCCAATGACCCAGGACTCCGACGACTCCTCCGGCCCACCCAACCCCTTCCCGAGCTCCAGGCCCGGCGGCCCCTCCACCGCATCCGCCGCCCACCTCCGGAGCCTATCCGTCGACTCCGACTTCTTCGACGGCCTCGGCCTCGGCGCCGGAGGAGACTCCGGCAGAGAAGCCCTTGTGGGGCAGAGGTCTGGGTCCCACCACAGGCACAGCAACTCAATGGACGGCTCCTTTACGCCGTCGTTTGAGGCGGACTCGCCTGTGATCGTGGTGGACGGTATCAAGAAGTCCATAGCTCCTGAGAGACTTGCTGAGCTCTCTCTTATTGACCCGAAGAGAGCTAAAAGGTTGCCCATTTTTTGTTTTTGTGTCTCTGTTTTGTTTTTCTTGTGGCTGTCTTCTTGACCCTTTCCTCAACTGGATCATCGTTTTTCTTTTTGTTTTTTGTTTTTTTTTTTAGGGTTTTTTCTTTCTGCAAATTTCAGTTAACCTCTTTTCAATTAATTGAGGGGATTTGGCCTTTTTTAATGTTCAGAATCTAATTAGATACGTAAAATGGGATTTCTTTTGCGAAATTTTGAAGAAAGAAAACTTAGTTTATGGAAATGTTGGTTTTTTTTTCTTTTTGGTAGATGTTATTTATTTGGTGGAATGAGAAATTGAATTCATAATTTTGTGGTTGATAGGATTTTAGCCAATAGACAATCTGCTGCGCGGTCGAAGGAGAGGAAGGTGAGATATACCAATGAGCTGGAGAGGAAGGTGCAGACGCTTCAGACAGAGGCAACAACCCTATCAGCACAGGTCACTCTGTTACAGGTAATACCTAAGACCTTGACTTTTGTACCTTAAGAAGTATCGGTTGGGCAAGACTTTAGGTACTACTTGCTAAACCAATGGAACCCGCAGCTTGGTTTGTTATGAAACGGATATATCATGCTTTGTCATTACAAAAATGGTATTTTCTGCTTTGCAATGATCATCATGAAATTATTTTCATTGTTCATTTATGCGGGTGGTTTTGTTCGGGTGCACGGTTGTTTACTTTTCCTTCCATTTTCTACCATTTTTAGATTGTCAATGTTTCCATGCTTGCTTCATTCTCCAGTACGTATAGGCACATAGGGTTACATATGAAATATGGATAATAGATCTTTCTGTTTCTAGTAAAACTCTATCAGTTTCCTTAATCACTGAACAGTACAAAGTTACTTTATTACATCAACGTTCCTCATAATGATTCTTTTCAATCTTACGTACGTCATTTTCTTTTTAAAGATCTGGTCCTTCTGTGAGTTCAGTTAATGAAATTAATTCCCCTAATGCGACCGGTTTTTGTGAGATTCTAGCTTTTATGTTCTAAGATACCAAAGCTTTTATTCTTTAGGAAATGTGTTTTGTTTAAGGGATAGTTTAACATTGATTATGATCTTTGTTTTGGTATGATTTTTGTATTTCCATTAACAATACAAGAAGTAAACATACACATTAATGTCAAGTATGGATCCTCAGCTTATAAATTTCAGTTGCTTATGTCCATAACTAAGTAGTTTTGTGCTTCCATTTAATTATCTTTTCAATATAAACCCTCAGCCCAAAACACTTAACCTAAAATGTAAAATAACATTGTTCTGGACACAAGTTAGTATCAACAGAAAAGGAAAAAGCCACACATTGTAAATAGGGAAA